CCCCAAAACCCCAAAACCCCAAAACCCCAAAACCCCTATCCACAAATATCCTACTGAAATATCTCCTTCAATTAAATCCCCTTACTATCCATTCTTCCCTATCCTCGCCCTCTCTTTAGCTTTCTCCAACTCTTCAGCCATCATTTCCATCTCTTTCTTACCTATCCCAAATTAAAACCCAGCCAATCCCCCAAAGAACCCTCCTTCCCAAATCCCCCAGTTACTTACTCTCTTCCCTAAACCTATCAGTCTCTTCCTTAATTTCCTTAATTTCAGTATCCATCTTGCCTACTTCTACAGTAAAAGTCAGATTTGAAGCTGAAGGAATTTAAGGGAATTTTGGAGAAGAGGGAAATTTAGAAGAAATTTGAAATTTTCATGGATTTTTTGAAGGGTGGATGGATTGGAGAGGTTAGCTTGGGGGGTTAGGGAGAAGGAGTTACCCTTTAGAAACCAGTCTTGGAGATCACTGATTTTGAGGATGGAAGAGGTGTATCTAGAGTGTATTAGAGAATTGTGGGGAATTGATAGTAAGAGGAGAAATGTTTGCTTACTTCTGGTCGAGCTTCTCCAGGGATAAGAGCTTCTTATTCTTCTCAAACAGCTTGTCTTTATTAGTGATCTGGATGGACTTGTAAGCGCTATTTTTCATTATAATCCTCTAAATCTTTCATTCTCTTATTATGAAGAGGCTTCATGATCTCTTTCTTATACCGTTTTTCAGAATCTTGTCTGATATTATAAGCGATCTGAGGATATTTTTGGAAAATATCATCTAGGAAACTCTTTTCCAAGGCATAAGTCTTAGTTTCCTTAACAGCTTGGTACACAAACTCACTCTTCCTGTCTGTTAAAACGTAAAAATCTCAGAAAAATGAGTCCTCACGGAAATATTTGATGATTTTAAAGTCCCTGACATTATTGCCTGGGAGTCTGAACCCTACTCCGACAGTACCTTCCATGATGAAATAGACTTCAGGGACTTCAGATTCTTCGTCATAAATGAGCTCATTCTCATCAAATTTTCGAGGCATAAAACCAAAAGAGACATCATACAAGAATTTACTCTCAATGTTTTCATATGTATTAAAGAATTCCTTGAATTTGTAAAAGATATCCTGGAACAAGTAATTCGTCATTATAGTTCTTTTGATACTTCTTGGAAGCGTGTTCAGCAATTCATCATCTGGTGAAGTCGACACCAACCTATCGTTCGCCCAAAAATATGCAAAATGAGTGTCAATTTTGTTAAACAAACTTCTTGGCAAAGGATTGTTGTTGGTGAACCTTGTTAATAATGTCATCCAGTTATGTAAATCTGTTCCTCTATCAATAATTCCCATTTTATTCTTATAGTTTGAAATAATCTCGATGAAATTACCCATGATATATGAGAAGAAAGCAACACCGAGGAGCATTATCATTCATGCTATGACCCTCTCGACATTGCTAATAGGGTAGTAATCTCCATACCCCACTGTAGAAAGCGTCGTGAGTGCAAAATAGCATGAAACGATCAATTTTCTGAATGAATCCTCCTCATTAAGTTCAAAGCTCTTCACAAAAGTATCATCATCGCTTCCTGGCTGCAGCTCACTTGAAATAAAGAACCAAAATCAACCGATGAAATAGGTAATAACAATAGCCACTAGAACAAGCCTTAAGATCTTTAAGCAATACAAAATCATGTGCTGTATGACAATGCTCTGGCTTCCAGAGGAACTCTCCGTAAACGATTTTAAGAGTTGATTCACCTTCGCAGTATTCATAAGTTTAGTCAACCTCAGAAGTCTCACTAATCTTAACAATTTGATCAAGGCAGCTCTATTTTGGAAAATTATATTGCAAAAGGGAAAACAGATACAAAGTCTATAAAGAACCAGCCCTTGAATACATATCTCTTAATGATCATTTTATGCTTGGAGACAGGCTCATGGGTCTCTGTATCAATGTACTCTTGAAAGAAATTGAACAGCATATCCAAAACAAAGGCAAATTCTACCATCCAATCGAATATAATATGGGGTATCTTCGAAGGTGGGGCAAATGTCACATAGAATATTGAAGTAAATCATGAATAAGCCACTAGGAAGAGCATTACTATATCAAATATTGATTTCCATCTCGATTTCGCATTGATAATAAAATAATCAAGTAATGATTCCTTGCTGTCATCATCGGTTTTATCTATAAATTGGTTATCCCAGCGTATCATTTGGAAGATTCACTTCAAAAATATGTAAAGAGGAATTTTAACATTGGTAGTTTTGAGAAATTGAAGAACCTTGAAGGAATATTACGCTGCTAATATTCTTATAAAAGCAGTAAGACATATGTAGAGTTGAATAAACTTATACTTACCATCTTCTTCAATTTGCCTGATCGCTCCAGATTTCTTCTTGACCTAAACGTAAAGAGTGATCCTACCTCAGGTGGTTGATTATGTAAGGACATGCCTCCAGTTCCAGGGACGATTTTTTCTAAAGGGCCGGACATTATTTATTATTCAAATATATTATAATATGATGGGGTTTTGGGGTTTTGGGGTTTTGGGG